ACACCACAGACCTCGGTGCGTCCCGGCCACGCCAGTTACAACCATGCTCGGGCCACCCGCCTCCCGGAGGGCAGAGGCTTCCACACCCACCTCCGGGGCTGCGCCACAGGCCTGCGGCTCTGAGTGTCTGCGGTGCTGCTGCGACTCTGCTCTTCTCACCACTGTTCGAAGATGATGTGTCTCTGTACCTTATCGGGAAAACAAGAATAAGCATTATTCTAACAGCTATTAATTCTTTCTTTTTCCATAGGTACATAAACACATGTTTATTTATTTCTTGATTTTTATTTGTTTGTATTCGAGTATATTTACATTTGTGACTTTTGTTCTTATCGAAGAGATGATAAATAAGACTCCAATAGGTACTTTTAGGGTCTTTTGTCCTTTTTACTGAACTTACGGGGTGTCACTGGGTAATAGCGTTTTGAGCATTTTCATGCACAGTCCCACAGCTCACCAATAAACAATCAATGTTTAAATCCTCTTCGATCTCAGTAAGGGTACTCAGTGAGACTTTCCATCTATGTTCATTCATCAAAATGTGTTTATCGTTTACTAAATCCTCTCATCAAGAAATTATGAGGAATAATTCTTTTAAAATATATAATTAGTCATATGAATAAGAAACATCAAGCACAGCTCAAATGAAACGTAGTTCGATAAGGCATACACATCCATTGGCCTCCTCCTTCTACCCTCATTTGATTTTTTGTTTCTCTCATGAAATATGTTTCTTCAACTTTATTTGCCTTTTTCGTTCGACCACAAAATCACCTAAAGAAAAATGCATTCCGAGCTTCTGTATAGTTGTAGGTGGGGGAGAAGATGGGCAAAGATTTCTCCAGAAAAGAAGCTGGGCAAAGGAACAGAGGACACAGACTGACACACGAACGCTCAGCTAACACACACAGGGGACCTCCCAGTAGCGGAGACACAGCTGCATGGCCTCTCATATGATTTCCAGCATTTTAGCCACGAGGTGGGTTTGCACAATACAAAGTGGTGTGATTAAGTGGCAATTATATGCTCAATTGGGGCTTTTCAATAATTCAGCAAAAGAAAAACATTCTCTTTAGGTCTTTGGGCTTAAATTAGATATTTTGACAGTTTGAATATCTGGCTTTACTGTTAATGATCCACCAATCCTAGCGTCACTCTTCATAGATTTTCTCAGTGCACTGAGGCACATCAGATAAGGTCAAACCAAAGTGTAGCTGTAATGGTTTATTTTGTCAATAAACATTTTTCACAGCCTCACTGCCCTAGGTCTTGTGGTGGCTAAAGAAAAGGTACAGCTTGTGATGATGTCATCTACATAGTCCATGATGATGTCATTGACATACAGAGCGTCAAACATTGCAGTCACCGCTGACACCAAGAAGCTGTCCCAGAGCTGTGTTTCCTAAGGCTCTGTGGGTGTCATGGGCAGGGGCCCACACTCAGAATAACTCATTTTCCAGACACCTGTCATCCACCATAAACCAACATCTCCTTTCTGACTCCTATGTAGTCCCATCATCTTCGTGAACCTGGTCTCTTCAAATGGAAACCTAGGCGTTATTCTTGATTCCTTCTTTGGATTTATCCACAGATTCTGAAGTTTCAAATCTTTTGATTTCTGCCTATAGAGTTCTTTATTGCCCTAGCCAGTTTTCTCAGTGGTTAGAGCATCGGCCCAGGGACAATGAGTCTCAGGTTCTATTCCAGGCAAGCACAAACTATCACAAACTTAGTGACTTAAAACAGCCCCATTTAATAGCTCACAGTTCCATGGATCAGAAGGCTGGGCAGGCTTGGCTGGGTTCCCTGCTGAAGGTTGAGGTGTCAGCCAGGCCTGGCCGGGCTGCTCCCTAGAGGCACCGAGAACAATCTGTTCCAAGCTCATCCCACTTATCGGCAGAACGCAGTGGTTGGATTGCAGGACCGGGTCCTGATTCCTTGTCTTCAGCTGGCCGGGCCCCCTCTCAGCTCCTGGAGGCTTTGTGCAGTTTTTATCAGGGTCCCTTTCATCGTCAGAGCCAAAACACAGCCTCTCAGGTGAGATCCCCTTGTGCTCCCCACCTCTGACTGCCTGCTCCACCACATGTACTGGCCCCAGGGCCGTGCAGGACATGTACATGCTGGCCGTCTCAGAATTCTGCCAGCACGCGAGCTACAGCTTTCTGCTTCCAGGGCACAACCCAGTGGCAGCCTCCTGCCGTGGAGAGCCAGCGTGCTCAGGGGTGCCCATCTGCCGTTTCTGGTTTTCCACCAGAGCTGTTTCCACCGAGCTTCATGCTTGGATTTTCTTTTTAGATTGATCTTTATTGTTGACTGTATTACAGATGTGTTTCCTTTTTTCCCCCTAGACCCCCTTTTTCCCCCTTCTATCCCCCTCCTGCCGTCTCCACACTATTGTCTGTGTCCATTGGTTATGCACATATGCATAGAAGTTCTTTGGTTTCTCTCTCCCCACCCGCCCCCTTCCCTTTGAGGTTCATCAGTCTAACAACCACTTTGTACTTCCTAATCCCTTCATCTTTTTCACGCATCTCCCCTCCCATCTGGCAACCACCAAAAAGTTCTCTGTATTTATGAGTCTGTTTTTGTTCTGCTTACTCGTTTTGTTTGTAGATTCAATTGTTGACAGATATGTATTGATTGCCATTTTATTGTTCATATTTTTTATCTTCTTCCTGGAGAAGACCTTTCAACATTTCATATAATACTGGTTTGGTGGTGGTGAACTCCTTTAGCTTTTTCTTGTCTGGGAAACTCTTTATATGTCCATTGATTCTAAATGATAGCTTTGCAGGATAGAGTAATCTTGGTTATAGGTCCATGTTTTTCATCACTTTAAATATTTCTTGCCACTCCTTTCTGGCCTGCAAAGTTTCTTTTTAGAAATCAGCTGACAGTCTTATGGGAGCTCCACTGTAGGTAACTACCTGCTTTTCTCTGGCTGCTTTTATGATTCTCTCTTTGTCTTTAACCTTTGGCATTTTGATGATGATGTGTCTTGGTGTGGACCTCTTTGGGTTCATCTTGTTTGAGACTCTGTGCTTCCTGGACTTGTGTGTCTGTTTCCTTCACCAAGTTAAGAACGTTTTCTGTCATTATTTCTTCAAATAGGTTTTCAATTTCTTGCTCTATCTCTTCTCCTTCTGGCACCCCCATGAATGTTGGCACGCTTGAAGTTGTCCCAGAGGCTCCTTACACTATCCTCATATATTTGGATTCTTTTTTCTTTTTGCTGTTTTTTGCTTTCTTATATTCCAAATTGATGGTTTGCTTCTTGGCTTCACCTACTCTACTATTGATGCCCTGTAAATTATTCTTTATTTCAGTTAGTGCATCCTTCATTTCTGACTGGTACTTGTATATGTTCTTGAGGTCCTCACTAAGTTCCTTGATGTTCTCATGAAGTTTCGTGTCATTCTCAATAAGTTCATTAAGCATCCTTATAACCAGTTATTTGAACTCTGCATCTGTTAGATTGCTTATCTCCATTTTCTTTAGGGTTTTTTTTTTGTTGTTGTTGTTTGTTTGTTTTTTTTCTGGAGTTTTGTTCTGTTCTTTCATTTAGGACATGTTTCTTTGTCTCCTCATTTTGGCTGCCTCCCTGTGTTTGTTTCTAGGTATTAGGTAGAGTTGCTATGTCTCTTAGGCTTCCCAGAGTGGCCTGTTGTAGTAGGTGTCCTATAGGACCCAATGGCACAGACTCCCTGATCACCCCAGCTGGGCCCTCAAGGCGCACCCCTCATGTGGACTTACACCCTTCTGTCATAATTGAGTCTTGACATGCTGTTGGCATGTCAATGGGGATACAGTTACTCAGGCTGATCAGCTGCAAGAACTGACTGTGCCCACTGACCACTGACCTCTGACTGCCCACCACACAGAGCAAGACTTACTTCATCAGGGCTCTAGTACCCACTGATTCCACTCATTGAGTGTGTTGCTTGTGGAGGTGGTTGCGTGGTGGTCCTTCTATGTGGTCTGAAGCTGTCCACTGGGTGTGCTGGCTCTGGGGCAAGGTCAGCCTCTGCCTGTGTTCTACCCGGGACCACCTGGCATAAGCTACAAAGTGATCTGCTGGTGGATGCTTCTTGTGCTGGGCTTGGAAGTGCCCAGGCAAAGCCAAGTTGTGAACCAAGGTTGGCTTCTTCCAGTGCCTGGCCTGGGGCCACTTAGTGAGAGGTATGGGGCTTACTGAGGCCAGATGCTGCTTGTTTGAAAGAATTTAGAAAAATCTGAAGCACGATCCAATACTGGCCAATCCTATGGTAAAGCCACCGGAAACAGCTTGGGTGGGCCTGAAAGTTGGGTGGAGCGGGGCCTCAGGGAATCACGAGGGCGGGGCAAACAGTGTGAACCAGGTTGCTGGAGTCCCAGATATGGTAGCGTCTGCCAGCCCCATGGCCCAACAAAGGCCTCCGACAGCACGTCTGTCCAGGAGAAAGCCGTCTCTCCAGCCCTTATCTTGAAGCCAAACAACTCAGTTCTTCCCCATATGTCTCTGGTGCCCTTCAAGCTGCCTCCCCTATGCTGGAGCCTGGAGGGAGCTGGTCCAAGTAAGTCCGTGCGTGGGCCCTTTAAGAGGAGCTGCCTGGGGCTCCAGCAGCCTCAGCCTCCCTGAGCCTCAGTTCCCACTGGTTTTACAGCCAGAAGTGATGGGGATTTTCTTCCTGGCACTGGAACCTGGGGGCTTGATGTAGGACAGGAACCCCTCACTCCTCAGGGAGGACCTTCCCAGCCAAGGTGTCCTCCTGATTTTTATCTGCCACATGTGGGTGTGGGCCCAGCCCATCTGCCTCCACCCCCTACCAGTTTCCATGTGGTTCTTCTCTAATTTCGTAGTTGTAGGACTTCCATTCAGCTCGATGTCAGACGGTCAATGCTTGGATTTTCTAATTCTTTTATTCAGTTACAGATGGGAATACAGGAAGGAGAAAAGACATCACCTTGTCCCTGTATGTGTCTCCTCATGAATCTCTATTGCCTCTTTTTTCCTCATTTAGTCCGGAAAGCCAACCACTGGAAGCCCCTGTTGTAAACGAGCACACTGACGCCCAGCTTCACGACCTGGTGCAAAGACTGTGTCACAGGACAGCCCTCTTTAAGAGGCAGCTGGCGGAGGAAGACCTGTCCTCCCCTGAATCCAGCTCCCAGGCCGGTGAGCACTGTTCTCAAAGTGCTGGGAGGACATTATGAGGGGACATGCATTTTGCAAATGTCTTAACCTGGGTCCCTCCACACGCAGACCCCGAGACAATGACTTAGGTTCAAATAGTTGATATGCAGGGTGATCCAGGGAGGTGAGAGCAGGCAGGAGACAGGAGACAGGAGCTAAGACAGGAGAGTGTGTTAATGAAAGGGTTACTCTGGGTCACTGGGGAGCAGCCAGCTGAAAACCTGTGGATTGCACAGAAGCCTTACCCTGAGGACATGGAGCTGGGGGCTCAGCCCCAGACTCCTCTGCCCTTGGCTGACGCCAGCACTCCAGGCAGCCAGCTGGGAGGGAGAGACCAGGGTCCTCGCAGGAAGCCTCCGCCCGTGGATGTGCCGACCCACAGCAGCATGGCTGCGGCAAGTTTTACTGAGTGTCCACTAGGAAACCATCATACAGAGCTCTTATTGTAAAACACAGGCCACCACCTTAATACGCCACAGAGCAGGGGACAGTGACAAACTGATCCCCTGAGGGGCAGGACACTGCCAGCATCCCTCACGATTACACACTTGTGCTTATGGAAAGTCAGAGAAGCAATGAAAGGGAGCACCAATGTGACGTGCACCACGACCCGCCTTTGTGACGTCTGTGCACCTGCAGACAGAACCGGGAGGGTGGCTGAGTGGTAACAGTTAGATAAAAGTCAGATTGTTCCTTACAATTTCCTGCAAGGATGGTTGCATTCTATCCTAGTTTCTCCTTAAAGAGAAGAGAATAAAATGCAACGGTCATTATAGTTTGATACATGTACTGAAAAGAACATGTTGAGCTTTATTTATCCATCACTTGCAGGACAAGTGCAGACTAAAGAAGCTGAAACTAAAAGCTGAGGAGTGGTGTGCATTTGTGATGTTTCTTTTCTGCTCAAATCCAAAGCACTGACTTTATTTACGCTCCAAAATCGATGAGAACCAAGCTTGTATGGAGAGTGTCCTTTTGTCACTCCTCTGGGATCATGTATTAGTGGGCTTTAAACCTGCTGTTTATTTCTAAATCCCTGTGTTTTCAGTGCCTGGATATTTTCATGACTGTCACTATTCTAAATGTCATGAAATGCCTCATCTACCTGTATTGAGAGGGGGAGATTCTGGAATATCTTCACTTTAAGAAACCCAAACTTCCTGCTCATTAAGTTAACATAACCTCTTAGGATCATTCTCTCCTTTTTCCCTACAAAGCAAAGCCTATGGCTGTACCGCCAGCACAGGAGAGCACCGCTCAGCATCCGGGGCCCATGGTCTCCTGCACAGGTACCACCCAGTGGGAGGGCTGGCTGTGGCCAGGGGCCCTGACACCCAGGGGCACAGAAGGCTCTGCTTTTCCTACCCACCTGGTCCTGTCTGCCTTTAAAAGGCAGAGCCGGTCTGTCCTGCCCTATGAACTTTGAAAAGGAAGCCGCAGAGCTCTCAGCGGCAGGTGCACTGACACCCCTCCCCCTCCCCCTGAAGTGTCTGTCTGCGTCCCCAGCTTTGCACTGTTAGCTATGGTCCTTGGACAAGTCCCTCGGCTGCCCCACTGGGCAGAGAAAAGCGATGTGTGCAGGGCTTCGGCGGCCTTCTTCCTGGGCTGGCGCTGCCCTCCCCACATCAGCCTGCCCTCGGGGTGAGAGGTGGCCGCTCGCACCTGCCCTGGGGATGCCCTTTCCTGATTCACAGAGCCGTTCCTGTGGGCACGACTCAGTGCCAATTCTCCACCAGACGAGGATGCTCTCTGATATGGGAAGAGCTGAGGAGGTCACTGAACACCCCGCGAAAGCCGGGCCCACTCCCAAGGCAGCCCCGTGCTGACAGTGAACGGAGCCCCTTACAGCACGTGGCTGACCTCCCAGGACCCTGCCCCGCTCCCCTGGACTGATCGGAGGGTGAGTGGATGCCCAGACGCGCCCTGTGGTCACTCCCACTGCCGCTCTCGCAGACCAGGCCTACCTCCTGTGGCTCCTGCTCGTCACGGCCGCCTACAGCTGGAACTGCTGGCTGATCCCCGTGCGCCTCGCCTTTCCGCACCCGGCTCCGGACAACGCGCGCTACTGGCTGGCGGCGGACGTGGCGTGTGACATCATCTACCTGTGCGACGTGCTGTTAGTGCAGCCCAGGCGCCATTTCACACGAGGAGGAGACGTCATAGTGAGTGGGGCCGGGGGAGGGGCCCTGGCGCTTCGCCTAGGCGCCAGTTCGCGTGAGGAGCAGACGCTGTAGTGAGTGGGGCGGGGGGAGGGGCCCTGGCGCTCAGCTCAGTGCCAGTTCGCACGAGGAGCAGACGTTGTAGTGAGTGGGGCAGGGGAGAGGGGTAGTGAGTGGGGCAGGGGGGAGGGGTAGTGAGTGGGGCAGGAGGGAGGGGTAGTGAGTGGGGCAGGGGGGAGGGGAGCAGGCGTCAGGGGAGGCCAGTTCACACGAGGAGCAGACGCTGTAGTGAGTGGGGCGGGGGGAGGGGCTCAGTTCGCACGAGGAGCAGACGCTGTAGTGAGTGGGGCGGGGGGAGGGGCTCAGTTCGCACGAGGAGCAGACGTTGTAGTGAGTGGGGCGGGGGGAGGGGCTCAGTTCGCACGAGGAGCAGACGTTGTAGTGAGTGGGGCGGGGGAAGGGGCTCAGTTCGCACGAGGAGCAGACGTTGTAGTGAGTGGGGCGGGGGGAGGGGAGCAGACGTTGTAGTGCGTGGGGCGGGGGGAGGGGAGCAGACGTTGTAGTGCGTGGGGCGGGGGAAGGGGCTCAGTTCGCACGAGGAGCAGACATTGTAGTGAGTGGGGTGGGGGGGAGGGGTAGTGAGTGGGGTGGAGGGAGGCGCCCTGGCGCTTCGCCCAGGCGCCAGTTCGCTCGAGGAGCAGACGTTGTAGTGAGTGTGGGGGCGGGGCCCTGGCGCGTGCGTAGCATGCTGGACGGCAAGGAGTGATTCACAGCAGCGTTTCCTGTAAGTCTTACACGCCAGCTGCTCACGAGTGCACTTTTAACCACTGGAAACTCCCAGTAGAATAGTGATGGCAGTGAAAATATGAGAAGCCACCACCACCACAACACAGCCACTGAGAGCTCCCTGTGCCTCAGTTCCCTTGTCAGAGAGACGAGAATAGCAATAGCACCTCCATAATGTTGATGGGACACTGACAAATGGGTGCGTGTGAAGTGCCAGGCGCCGAGTGAGTGGGTGTAAGATGTCAGCTGTAACCATGGGCCCGGTTCATCCCTGTGCATGCCTCCCCATGGGGAAGGCGAGGGACCAGCCGCACTCACAGAGGAGGACACCGAGGTTTGCAGAGGGTGGGCCACTGCTCAGGGCTCAGAACGGCAAGGTCAGCTGGGCAGCTCCGCCGGGCTCATTCAGGTGGGCCCCCATTCCAGAATTTGGTAGGACTTAGGGTACAAAGATAGCGCTGGTCTTAAATGTCAAAACCATGTACACACTTTACCTAAATAATGTGAAACTGCAAATTATCCACGCAAAAAGCGGTGATTTAATCTGCGTTCCTCTGGCGCTCCGGCCTCCAGCAGGGAGGGAGGCAGCTGCCTCCGCCCCTTGCAGTCTGCCGTTAGCCTCAGCACTTTTCCTTCCTTCCTTCCTTCCTTCCTTCCTTCCTTCCTTCCTTCCTTCCTTCCTTCCTTCCTTCCTTCCTTCCTTCTTTATTTATTTGTTTTTTTTATTATTATTTATTTTTATTCCTCACCTGAGGATATTTTTCTACTTATTATCAGATAGAGTGGGAGGGGAGGAGAGACAGAGACAGAGAGAAACATTGATGTGACAGAGCCACATCGACTAATTGCTTCCCACACAACCTGACCAGGGCCAGGGCCAGGGCCAAACCATAATTGAGGTACGTGCCCTTGACCAGAATCGAACCCATGACTCATTGGTCTGCAGACCGACACTCTAACCGCTGAGCCAAACCAGCCACGGCTACTTGAGCACGTTTAAAATAAGGTAGGTGCTACTCCATCCGTGTGTCTGCTCCCCAACCAGGAGCCCACCCAGTGGAGCACCAGCACCGTGTGAGCTCTGTGGACAGGCTGTCACTGGACATCACTGTGTGGCCAGCACCCAGCACACGGCCTGCTCGCAGCTCGGAAATCAGGTCCCAGGTGTTAACCCGGACACTGGGGGAAAGCCTGGCTCAGAAAGGACAGGGCAGCTGCCCTGACCCTTCCATCCGTGCAGACCCACCATGCTGTCCAGTGCTTGTTCTAATGTGAATTCGAATTCACTAAGATTAAACAACATTAAAAATTCAGGTTTCTCAGCCATGTTATCCATTCTTCGGTACCCAAAATCCACCTGCAGCCAGGGGCTGCCATGTCACACAGTACAGAGATGCCCACCACTGTGAGACCTACCAGTGCCATCAGGACCAAGAGCAACAGCGTCGAGATCCGCACCAAGAGCCAGAGCTTGGGGAGGAGACCACCCGCCTGCTGATGGCGCATGTCAGTTGTATTTTAATTACTGTGGTATCTTCACGCTTCTCTGTCGGCATCCACCACATCCACTTCTCGTTGTAGCCTCAGGGCCCACTCAGAAACCAGCATGCTTACTCTTGGGAAGTGATCTCCAGACTCACCCCCTGCTGAGGGAATTTCAGAGCCAGTCCTGTTGAGCTGAGATGGAAACAGCAGTTTCCATGAGCACAGACTCATGTCAGCCGCGGACACTGAGGCCTCCCCAGCTTCCTCCCCCACCATCCCTGGTGCTGTCGTCGGCACAGCCCGCCTGGGTGGCCCAGAGCAGCCCCTCCAACATCACCGCAGGGAGAGCGGTGTGGCCAGGGGTGGTACCCTGAGTTCGTCTATATTTTGGGGAGAAGAGAGGTCATTTTCTTTTTTTTTCATCCTCCCCCGAGGATATTTTTTCATTTTTTGTTCAGATAGAGTTGGAGGGAGAGAGAGATAGAAACATCGACATGAAAGGGACACATCGAGTGGCTGCCACCCACACAACCCAACCAGGGTCGGGGACAAACTGCAGCCGAGGTACATGTCCCCAGCGGGAACCGTACCCGGGTGTCTCTGGACCGCAGGCCGACGCTCTAACCACTGAGCCAAACTGGCCAGGGCAAGCGAGAGAGGTCGTTTTCTTAATCTCCTCAGTGTTCTCTTTGGAGTTTCCAGGTGATTTTAAATGATCAAAAAGCTGAAAGGACTTGTCGTAATGATTTTTTTAAATGTTCTTTGCTGTGGAATGCCCCATATATTTGAAATCTTCCCCAGAAAGGAAGTCTAAAGGCCGGAACCAAGGCTGTAGCGAAATCTGTTCCCAGTGCTCCTCGGAAGGACGGCAGAGCCTTGGCTGGGTCGTGAGTGTGCAAGAGCCCAGTGGTAGTGATGGACGATGATGGTGGTGGACAAACACGGAGTGAGCATCACAGAGAAAGAGCTCATTTCAACCTCCATTAGATGCGCAAGGGGGAGAAAATCAATGCTTGACAAACGGAAAATGACAAGATCAGCAAGGGGAGACTTTTATTTTCAATTTCGTATGAGGCCTTTACACACAATAGAGTGTTAAAACCAAGAAAAATAACCAATGAAAACATACTGTGTGGGCTCTATTTAAAATGTGTTATCACCAGCTGCAGGTAGAGGCCAGGAATGAATTGCTTTGTTTGTTCAAAAGAAGTTTGACAGTGTCTTTAATTTATGTACTAGAAACAAACAGACCGGGGTCAAACTGCATCTCTAAATTCTCCTAACAGCATTACTTAAAGAAAATAAATGTAGCCTTTCATTGAACACCATGCGTTTCATCCATAAAATGGGAGTAGTAGGACCTCAGACAGACACACACACATACACACACACACACACACCCTCTTGTGGAGGTCAGGGAAGACAGTGTGCACACCTGTGCCAGGGTCTGGCATTAAATTGTGGAATGATCAGATGGACGAGTGTCCGCACACCTGCTTCTCCCTCTTGTCTCGTTTGTTGCTCTTGTCCTTACCTGATGGGAGTTTCTTGACAGCGGGGACAGTATTCAGTTCCCTCTCTCTTCTGGGAATGCAGAGTCTGCTTAAGAGATGTTGGAGGGGTCTGTAAATGGCCACCTTGGTTCAAGGACTTTCTTCCCTAGAATAATCGTGAGATCTATTCTGATGTTGTTTCCAATGATATTCTTACGATTTAAACACTCCTGTGTGTTCATTGTGAAATTATAGTGTTTTGATGGGTTGTTTAGGAGAAGAGGTAAATGATAATATAATAATACCTGGGTACAGCATCTTCAAAAACAACCTGCTGGGGAAGGATTCAGGCACAATTAGCATACCCTGCCCAAAGTGAGTCTCCCCTGAAGAAATGTTGCTTGTATACTGACGAAGCTTAACACAGAATTAAATAGGGTGACATTTTAAAAATAAGTGCCCCTTGTAACCAGTGAGCATGCTGATCCTCATAAAATGATGCCAGATTTATTTAGGGCTCCAAAGAAAGGGATTCAGAATCATGAGATGGCATTTTCATTCAGTCTAGCAAGTTGTAGCTTCATTGCATTTATCCAATCATAGGATCGTAGACCATCCTGAAAGGAAAGGCCCAGATGTGCTGACCATTCCAACAGGGTCGGGGGTGGGGGGGGGCGGGGCGTGGTAGTCTAACTAAACTTCTTAGCACTTGAAATAAGTCGGTCTGTCCCGTTCAAGCTTTGAAGGTGCTGACAGACTTTACTCAAACTTGGCATGTGATTCAACTTAGACTTCCTCGCATGTCCACCTGCAGCTCAGTCAGCCATTTGTTTCATCATGAAAATACCTAAATGAGCATGTCTCAAAAATTTAGCATGCATACAGGGGTAGAAGTTACAGCCAGAAAGGGAGAGGGCAGGAAACGAGGAGTTGGCTTTCACATCGCTTGGTGGTGCTCACAGCCTCTGAACGTGGACGACCTGGAGGATCACGGAGGCCAGAGACTGCTCATGCACTGGGGTCTGGTGCAGGTGAAATGTGGAATGAGTAGAACAGCTGTGTGTATAGTTGCTTGTACAAGTCAACAGCTTCGGCAAGTGGTATTAGGTGGAGGTAGAGAGCTCATTGCATCCACATACGTGGTGGTCTTTGAAACTCTGAGAGCGGATGAAACGTCCCGGGAAGCAAGGACAAGGAGAAAAGAGAAGATAGCTGAATCTTGGGGAATATCAACTTTTAAATGGCTGGCCCTAGAATTTCAGGACACTGAAAAGTTGGAACTGAAGTACAGTTAACCAAGAACAACATGACAGGTTCTTCAGAAAGAGACAGTTCACGGACATAATTGTCACCCCAGATTGTCAAATGCTTCAGAAAGTTTTAGTCGCCTCTTTATTCCCTCATCCATTCAGCAAATGTGTACTGGATCCTAGTAAATTCTAGCAACTAATTATGTACAGTTGCTAAATGAAATCAACACTGTTCTGAGATAGATGACCATTTAGTGGAATAAACTGATTTTAAATAAATGGGCCAAGAGATCTATGAGTGATTTTAAGACATGGTGGGTACCATAAAAGAATGCTATGTATGCCCTGGCTGGTTTGGCTCAGCGGTTAGAGTATCGGCCCGCAGACCAATGAGTCAAGGGTTCGACTCTGGTCAAGGGAATGTACCTCGGTGACAATCTGTCCTGGCGCTGGTTGGGTTGGGCGGAAGGCAGCCAGTTGATGTGGCTCTATCACATTGATGTTTCTGTCTGTCTGTCTGTCTGTCTGTCTCTCTCTCCTTCCCACTCTATCTGATGATAAATGGAAAAGTATCCTCAGGTGAAGAAAAAAACAAAAAAGAATGCCACAAATGGAAAGGGCTCCCCGGGTGTGATGGCTGGGGTCTCGCCGGCCTCTCACAGGCTGGTCTCAGGAAGGAGCGAGGCATGAGCCAGGTCATGCTGCGCAGCAGCAGTGGGGGAGGGTGAATATGGGGAAGGGTGTGGGTGCAGCCAGGAAGACAGATTTGAGTCTGAGTGTGGCCATGTGGCCGCAGGTCAAAGGCAAAGCAAAGGGCAAGGGTGGGTTGTTTTTGTTTTAAGATACAAGAGGACAGATGCTGTTCATAGGCTGAAGCTGGAAGGAACCAGTAGAAAACATTGCTCTCACTATTTTTAAAATGAGAAAATAATTGATGAAATCAGGTAAAATAAATATAAAACCTCTTTCAGGTGGATCCCGCTGAGCTAGCAAAGCACTATAGGAGTTCTACAAAATTCCAGGTAGGTGGCTTTCAGCCTCGAAACTGTTTAAACAATCCACTGCCCTTTTCATCTTCAGCCCCATCTACAAACTTCTGCAACATCTGCTTGCTTTCCAAACCGCCACCTCTGTAACCAAGTTTGCACAGGTGGCATTTCATTAGACGGGCCAGCCTGAGGGTTTGCTTCTCAGGAGTTATAGGCTGTGCTTCCTGGTGTCTGCACATGTCTCACTAAGCACACGGTCCTCACCAGGCCGAATAAGACGGCAGTACCCACATCGAAATGCCGATTTACGTCAGTAAAAGAGTATGGGTTGTATTTTGTCTTGTCCATACAGAATGCCAGCCTGCAGTTCATGCACCACAATGATGTAAAAGCCTATACTCCCATTTTGTTCTTGTTTATATAAAAAAACAAAAAGCGGAGAGAAACAAGTATTTAAATGACATGACATGGCATCTCCCTTTCCTTACATAGCAATATTATCTTATGTTTTTCATCTGCAATTATTTACAACCGAGTACTTGTTATCCGATTTGTTCTTCCTAACTCTGAGAAATAGGCAGAGATTTGCGGGCTCCCAAAGGCCACCCAGTCTGGAGGAGTGAAGTCCAACCTCCTGTTTCAAGGACATGTTAGTGGTCTCTTTTGTTAAAAAAAAAATACAAATCTGGGTTTTGGTGCCAAATTATCCCAATTGGTGGTCTATGCTGATTAAAATCCCTTTCAATTTGTTTTTTATCTTCAACTAATTTTCTTTGTAAGCCAAGTCCACATGCTCAGACATTGGCAAGAACCCGCACTACTCTGACAAACACGGCCCAAAGGACACTTTTCTTTCTAAGTGCCGTGAGCTTTTCTCAGACTCTTCATCACTTGCTTGAATTTGATGAGGGGAAATTAACTCGTGTTTAACTGGGGTTTACAAACGTACGTTTCTGCACGTATTTAATCGGGCAGTTCTGCTCTGGAATTCCCCGAGGACTTCTGCCTGCATTGCAGCCCTGTGTGGTCCTTGGTGTGCTCAGTTATCCCTGTTAGACTGTTAATTCCCAGGGACAGAAGCGGCATTGTTCTCCCGAGTCGACCCCCAGGCTTCGCAAAGTGCCGTGTACAGAGTACAGTCTGGTCAGGGCCATTTTCTCCAGCTCAACGAGAAGCAAGTCATCCGGACCCACCCAAACCCAGCAAGTGTTAGCATCAAACAAGACTGCCTAGAGACGTCAGCTGGGCAGTTGGAGAGACAGCAGGTGAAAGATTGTTATTCAGACAGATTAGTTCCAACACAGTTATTTTGCAGGTTGAAAAAAGAGTATTATGAGTTGAACCAGCAAACACAAGAGCTGGAGCAGCACTGGTCACGGCGGCTCCGCACATGCCTCTCCTGTGTGAGACGTGGCTTTAGTAACTATTCTGTACACCCCTCAACTGGCTATGAGGCTCTGTCTCTGCGGGGTAAAATGAATGGGGTTGGGTGATATGCTGCAATTTACAAACCAATACTTTTAGTAAGTAATTTTTTTTCTCATAACCAATCCGGTTCACTCAGACCAAAATTCCAGCTGGTTTTCAGTAGCACGAGGCTGATGGTAAATGCTGGTGCACAATTAGTTAATGCTCATTTTGGAATACGGCCTTACAGGAAACTTTGTACTGCCCTTAATTGTCTTCAATAAATGACTGTTTTTTAATGTAGCCTGTTTTTCAATACCATGTAAAAAATAATGCAAATGAATAATTATATTACATAAAGAATTTGTATTGTTATTAACACAATCGGGAAAGTACTTCAGAATGATGTACCAGGGACATAGAAGGCCGGAATAATTTAAATACATGACAGATTTAAATATATATATATTTTTAAGCTGTAATAGCATGTTTAATACTGTCTCCCGTCACAATGCTGATGAACTGTAAGCGGGACTGGATTTTTCCTCTCCTCTCTCAGCCTGGACATCACCGACCGTACTTTCTCAGCAGTTTACTGTTAGCTGTATGATCTGAAGTAGACACCAGCAGAAAGAATGGAGGCATCTAGATGAACCAACAATGTGACCAGTCGTGAACACTGAAGAATTGGCCAAAATATAAAAATGTGTCACAGCAGTGAATGCACAGCGGTTTACAATAAACTTAAGAACAGACTTGATTTTCAGTCCAAGAGCACCATGTTTAAAACACTGTTAAAACGTATTCTGACATTAGCAACAATACTATCTCTGAAATATATGCACCAGTGTGACAAGAATCCTGGAGATCCCAGAGGATGCAGGGCCCTTGGGGAGCTCAGAGGATGCAGGGCCCTTGGGGAGCTCAGAGGATGCAGGTGGAAATGAAACACACTGGAATGGCCTGTGGAATAGCCGTCTTGTTTCCATGTGCTGATATGCTTTCCAATGGCACCGTGCATGTTTAACTGAAGGCATTTTTGTGTTAAGCAATGAAGAATTGGTGGTGGTTACTAGTCAGCTTCTACATGTGTGGTATAAATAAACCTATGTCCAAAAAGCATGTAAATACAACGTAACTGTGCATCTGTTCACTCAACAGTTGGATGTTGCATCCATAATGCCACTGGATGTTTTCTGCCTCTTCTTTGGGTTTAATCCAATATTTAGGACAAACAGGATATTGAAGGTAAGATAACTATATTGTTATTCTTACTTGTGATTGTCTTACTATAATAATGAAAATCTTGAAGTGATTTAAAATATCCTATGAGTATAATGTTATTCATTTTCCCAAATTGCCTTGGGGTTTTTGCCCTTGTTGATGCTACCTGCGAATTTTAAAAACTGAGTGATGGAAAAACATCATCGTATCCACTGTTGGAAGTTGCTCTTGGCTGTTTTTAATTTGTATCTCATAGCAGGTGTTTATTTCATCTAAGACAGAAACGTTTTGGTGCTTCTAAAGAACAAAAATATGAATAATAAAATGGCAATTAATACATATCTATCAACAATTGAATCTACAAACAAAATGAGCAAGCAGAACAGAAACAGACTCACAGATACAGAGAACTTTTTGTTGCTTGCCAGATGGGAGACGGCTGGGGGGATGGGTGCAAAAGATGAAGGGATTAAGAAACACAAATTGGTTGTTAGATTGATGAACCTCAAAGGGAAGTGGGGAGGGAGGGCGGGAAGAGATAAACCAAAGAACTTCTGTGCATATGGGCATAACCAATGGACACAGACAATAGTGTGGGGAAGGCAGTAGGGGGACTGGATTAGGAAGGAGGGAATCAATATGGAAAAAAGCGAACATCTGTAATACATTCACCAATAAAGATAAGTTTTAAAAAATAAAAATACAACTATACTTACAAAAGAGTCTTATATTTTTATTCGTTTCCATTTGCCCTTTTTTACTAGACAGTCACAGAATGCCAGGCATACTGGCTGCAAAAGGAGAGTTAGATCCTACAACCTCTGAGTCATCTTACTCACCTAAAATTCTATGATCCTAGAAAAAATGCAAACAAGCTTCTGCACAACAGAAGGATTTACATACATGGATACAACTCAAATGTCTATTAACGGGGACTAGTTAAATAAATTGTGGTAAATCTATCTAATAAAATACATTTTGCAAAGAAATACATAAAGAGGAAGTTTTCTATGACCTGGAATGAAAAGACTGCCAAGATAAATTGCTAAGTTAAAAAACAAGCTAGTTACAGAATAGCTTATAGAACAATATTGACTTTTATAACAGAAAGAGGGAAATATTCCAATTCTCTCTATTATTTTATTTTTATTTTATTAATAATTTATTTATTTTTGTTACAGACATTTCTCCTTTTTCCCCAAAGACACCCCCCTCTTTATCCTACCCCCTGCAAAGCATTGTTGTTTATGTCCATTGGTTACACATACATGCATATAAGTTCTTTAATTTATCTCATCCCTTCCCCCGCCCCTCTGAGGTTTGTCAGCCTGAATCGTACTCCTTTCTATGTCTCTGGGTCTGTTTTTTCACCAGCTTATTTTGTTCAATATATTCCACAAATAAGTGAGGTCATGTGATATTTGTCTTTCTCTGATTGGCATATTTCACTTAGGATAATATTCTCCAGGTCCCTCCAGGTCATCTCAAAGGGTAAGAGATCTTTCTTTCTTAACAGCTGCATAGTGTTCCATTGTATATATGTACCACAGCTTTTATATCCACTAATCTATTGATGGACACTTGGGCTATTTCCAGATTTTAGCAATAGTAAGTAGTGCTGCTATGAACATAGGGGTGTATATATTCTTTCTGATGTGTGTTTCAGCCTTCTTAGGATATATTCCTAGAAGTGGGAACACTGAGACAAATGGCAGTCCAATTTTTAATTTTTTGAGGAAACACTTTATTGTTTTTCATAGTGGCTGCACAGTCTGCATTTCCACCAGCAGTGTACTAGAGTCCCCTTTTCTCCACACCCTCACCAACACTTGTTGTTTGATGATTTGTTGATGGGGGCCATTCTGACAGGTGTGAGGTGATACCTCATTGTTGTTTTAATTTGCATCTCTCTGATGATTAGTGATGTTGAGCATTTCTTCATATGTCTCTTAGCCATTTGTATGTCCTGTTTGGAGAGGTGTCTGTTTAGTTCCTCTGCCCATTTTTTAATTGGGTTCTTTGTCTTCCTTTTGTTGAGTTGTATGAGCACTCTATATATATTGGAAATGAACCCCTTATCTGATATATCATTGGCAATTATGCTCTCCCATACAGTGGGTAGCCTTTCCGTTTTGATGATTGTATCTTTCACTGTGCAGAAGCTTTTGAGTTTGATGTAGTCCCATGTGTTCATTTTCTTCTTTGTTTCTATTGCCTTAGGTGATGTATCAGTGAAAATTCTGGTGCGTATGATGTCTGAAATTTTGTTCCCTACAGTTTCTTCTAGGATTTTTATGGATTCATGAGTCACATTTAAATCTTTTATCCATTTTGAGTTTATTCTTGTGTAGGGTGTAAGTTGATGGTCTAGTTTCATTTTTCTGCATGTAGCTGTCCAATTTTCCCAGCACCATTTATTAAAGAGGCTGTCCTTACTCCACTGTATGCTCTTGCCACCTTTGTCAAATATTAATTGAGCATATTGCCTTGGGTCCATTTCTGGGTTCTCTGTTCTATTCCACTGGTCTATATGCCTGTTCTTGTGCCAGTACCAGGCTGTTTTGATTATGGTGGCTTTGTAGTATAACCTGAAATCTGGTAATGTGATCCCTCCAACTTTGTTCTTCCTTTTCAAGATTGCTGTGGCTATTTGAGGTCTTTTTTGCTTCCATATGAACTTTTGAAGTACTTGTTCTAATTCGGTGAAGTATGCCGTTGGTGTTTTGATGGGGATTGCGTTGAATATATAGATTGCTTTGGGTAATATGGATATTTTAATGATGTTAATTCTCCCAATCCATGAACAGGGTATGTGCTTCCACATTTTTATATCTTCCTCTATTTTTTTTTTTCAATGACCTGTAGTTTTCTGCGAATAGCTCCTTTATTTCTTTGGTTAAGTTTATTCCTAGGTATCTTAATTTTTTTGCCGCAATGGTAAATGGGATTGTTTTCTTAGTTTCTCTTTCTGTGAGTTCACCCTTGGTGTATAAGAATGCCATCGATTTCTTGACGTTAATTTTGTATCCTCCTACCTTGCCTAATTCATTTATTAAGTCTAGTAAATATTTGATGGACTTGTTGGGGTTTTCTACGTATAGTATCATGTCATCTGCAAATAATGACAGTTTCATTTCCTCCTTTCCAATTTGTATCCCTTTTACTTTTTCTTCCTGTCTGATTGCTATGGCTAAGACTTCCAGTACTATGTTAAATAGGAGTGGTGAAAGTGGGCATCCTTGCCTTGTTCTTGTTCTTAAGGGAAATGCTTTTAATTTTTGCCCATTGAGTATGATGTTGACTGTAGGTCTTTCATATATGGCCTTTATTATGTCTAGATATGATCCTTCTATTCCCACATTGCTGAGCGTTTTTATCAGAAATGGATGTTGGATTTTGTTGGAGGCTTTTTCGGCATCTATTGATATGATCATGTGGTTTTTAGTCTTCATTTTATTTATGTGGTGTATCACGTTTGTTGATTTGCGAATATTCTACCAACCTTGCATCCGTGGGATAATTATTTTGGTGTAATGCTGGAGCCGATTTGATAGTATTTTGTTCAGGATTTTGGCATCTATATTCATCAGGGATATTGGCCTGTAGTTTTCTTTCTTTGTACTGTCTTTTTCTGGTTTTGGAATTAGAATTATGCTGGCTTCATAAAACGAGTTTGGAAGTCTTCCTTCTTCTTGAATTTTTTCAAATAGTTTGAGGAGAATGGGTGTTAGTTCTGCTTTGAATGTTCGGTAAAACTCCCCCATGAAGCCATCCAGGCCTGGGCTTTTGTTTGCTGGGAGAGTCTTGATTACATCTTCAATTTCTTCTGTTGATATTGGTTTGTTCAAGTTTTCTATCTCTTCCTGGCCCAATTTTGGGAGACTGTGTTTCTAAAAATTTGTCCATTTTGCTTAGATTGTCAAATTTGTTGCCATATAATTGTTCATAGTAGTTTTTAACGATCTTTTGTATTTCTGTGGTGTCAGTTGTTACTTCTGCTCTTTCATTTCTGAGTTTGTGTATTTGGGTTCTCCCTCTTTCTTTCTTGGTGAGTCCAGCTAAGGGTCCATCAATCTTGTTTACCTTTTCGAAAAACCAGCTCTTTGTTTTATTGATCCTTTGAATTGTTTTTTTGGTGTCTATGTTGTTTATTTCTACCCTGATCTTTACTATTTCCTTGCTCTGGGGTTTTCTGCTTGCTCTGAGGTTTACTTTTTGTTTGCTCTCTAGTTCTTTAAGTTGTGAGGTTAGATAGTCTATTAGAAATTTTTCTGGTTTTTTGAGGTAGGCCTATAGTGCTATGAACTTCCCTCTCAGAACTGCTTTCGCTGCATCCCATAGATTTTGTGTTTTTGTGTCTTCATTTTCATTGGTTTCCATGAAGTTTTTGATTTCATCCTCGATCTCCTCGGTGACCCATTCATTGTTTAATAACATGCTATTTAGCTTCCATGTGTTCAAATATCTTTGTATGTTTTTCTTGCAATTGATTTTTAGTTTCATGCCACTGTGATCTGAGAAGACGCTTGATGTGATTTCAGTCATCTTGAAATTGTAGAGACTTAGTTTGTGCCCTAACATGTGGTCTATCTTTGAGAATGTCCCATGTGCACTTGAGAAGAATGTGAATTCTGTAGTTTTGGGGTGTAATTATCTCAGATATCTATTAAATCCATTTGGTCTAGTGCTTCATTTAGAGTCTCTGTTTCCTTGCTAATTTTTTGTCTAGAGGCTCTATCCAGTGATGTCAGCGGGGTGTTGAAGTTCCCTGCTATGATTGTATTGCTATCAATTTCTCCTTTGAAGTCCTCCAGATGTTTTTTAATATATTTTGGTGCTCCTATATTGGGTGCATATATGTTAATCAAGGTTATATCTGCCTGTTGGATAGATCCTTTCAATATTATGTAGTGGCCTTCTTTGTCTCTAGTTATGGCCTTCATTTTGAAGTCTATTTTATCAGATATGAGTATTGCTACCCCGGCTTTTTTTTTCTTTCTGTTTGCTTGGAAGATTTTTTTCCA